CAATTTCAGTTACTAAACTTGAATTCTTAATATATTTTTCAGACACATTTTGTGCAAACTCTGGTATAATTTTTTTTCAAACAAGAACAGTGTTCACAGTTTTTATATTACATAGTAGTTTGGACGAAACTGGCTTTACTAAAGAAATATTATTCAAAGATGTGTTTTTATCTTAGAACATTTCTCTGTTTCTCTGTCTTATTATATTACTAACTCTCTTCTTATTTTCCAAATTTATAAATTTATCAATCACTTTTTCTTCTAATAATTTTAGTTTGATTAAGTCAAGAATTTGAGATTCTAAGCTGTGCTTAATTTCTCTAAGGTTAGATGAAACAGAAGTTGTATTTATTATCTGTTTAGAGGTATTATTAAGATTTGATTTGAAAGAAACAGTGCTTTGTATCTGTTTTATATCTATAGAACTTGTGTTGTTTTCTTCATCGGGGTGGGTTTCAATAGTTGAAGTAGGTGATTGAGAAATGTTAATATTCTTTTGTAAAGTGTTATCTAAATTATGGTTTTTGATTTGAAAGGTAGATTTATATTCTTCCATCAAGAATTGTAAATCCTATCTATATAAGTCTCTTCACTTTGCAACTCAGCCAATTTTGGGTCAAAAGCTGGATTTTTCCAGATATCTCTCCTAAAAAGATTATTTTAAATACATTTCTAAACATAAATATTTTGTTGAACAATGCTAATATAGTTTTTAGTATAGTGGCAAGATTCTATTATTGAAATACTCACAAGATATCAAGAATGCCTGATGCAACTTTTGCAAGCTTTTCATTAGATTCTTTTCAGCTTTTGTCATGTATAAGTCTATTATTTGGAATGTTCATAATGCTATCTATGAAATTTAAAACAAATGAATCACACATATCTTTGACAAGAACTGGAGCGGTTACTTTCATATGCTTTGCCGAATCCTATTAGGGTTCAAAAGTATTAATAATTTAGTAAAAATATCTTTGCCAAAGGTAGTTTTGGGGCTAAACGAGATGCTATTTACTAAAATCATCTACCATAAAATATTCATATGCTTCTATGTCTTTTGCTTCTAATGTTCTTACCATTTTCGAATCTGCACAAATTATTTTACTCGCAAGTGGGACTTTCCATATTAAATCTGAAGTGTTTTTCTTTTTCTTCAAATACTTCCGAAAATACTGGACGTACAGAGCTGTGCTAGTTGCAAGATCAGTCTTTAATACACGCAAGTTTGTTTGATTTCATTCTCAGAAAGTGCATCTTTCTGTTTTAATATTTTGATATTTTGAAGACTATATATGCCTTCATATGCATTATTGAACTAGTGCAAAAAAACTTATGTTAGTATTAGTACAGACAAACTTGTGTATAATAATAATGCGCGCGCACCCATCAAAATACTTCATATAAAATTATCAACCATATGTGGCCGGCATATAATTGACAACACATATGAATAGTACAAATATATCATAAAACTAGAACTAAGATCTCACTCTCTTGTATCTGAGAAATTAATAAATTTTATTAACCCTGTAATCACAAGGTTTATAGACATTTATTTAATTTGGTTGTATGTAATTTTGCGCAATCATCATTGGGTTAAAAGTATAATAATAGATGAATTTTTTAACCTTCAGGGTGATTTCAATGAACTTTTAATATTTCTCTAGGTTTGGGTCATAAAGATCTTTTAATTTTTTAACTACCTGCTCAACTACTGATCATAAATCATCTTTGAATGCCACGTATCATCTTCTATTACTTGAAAAATGACAGAAAATGCTGTAATATGATTTGGAGGTGACTTAAGTAAAAAATTATGAATGACTTTATACAAGATAGAATTGGACATGATGAATAAGTTATTATGATTTGACGTAAAGTATATAATCACTAAAAAGCGACAAATAACAATAAATTAGAAATACTGCCCTTTTATACATTTTTTTTCACCTCTCTCTGAAACTAAAACACGCGAAAAATTTCTATGATAGAAGTTGAGAATTTCTATCAATGATGCAAAAGAATTCTATAAATTTTACATATAAGTTTCTGGCATATGATATTTGCATGTAAATAACGTTGTCCAAAAATTTCGTAGAGCTGACATATAAAGTCTAGTAGTGCTGGTAAAACTTTTGCACTATTTAATTGCTAATGTAAAAGTTACGTATGTACGTACTTATGTGCATAAGGGAGGGGAGGTATTATGACGCACCTAAGAGTTGCTCAAATAAAAATTTCCAAAAAAAATATATTTATTCTTGAAATTTATTGAAATAAATTACTCATTGAATTGGCTATCTGCTAATATAAAAAAAAATTGACTTTTAAAAAAAATTTTTTGAAATATGAGCTTTCAAAATCTATTCAAAAAATGCTATGATTTTTACATTTGGAGGGTATTATGACATACATCGGATATGTCGAATTAATATCAGAAATCATAGTAATACAGAATTACATAATACAGAATTACATAATACATATACAGATAAGTATACATAGCATAATTACGCATGATCATTTTTTCATTTTTTACTTAACCGTTCCTCTTTTTTTCGCTCATTTTCTTCTTTTTTTCTCTTTTTTTCAGCTTCCCGGTCAGCTCATTTTTT